AGCTCAATTAGAAACAAGAAAGGGGATATAAAAACAGAAACCCCAGAGATATAAAAGATCTTTACTGCATATTACAAAAAATTCTATGCCCAGAAATTTGAAAACATGGAGGAAAAGGATTGATTTCTAGAATCAATGAATTCTAACAACTGAAAAAATGTGCTTCCAACAAGTAAAAGTCTTGGACTAGACAGTTTTACACCGGAATTCTACCAAACCTTCAAAGAAGAGTTCTCACCTATATTGCAGAACCTATTTCAAAACACTGAGAAGGATGGAATTTTCTCCAACTCCTTCTACAAAGCAAATATCATCCTGATACCAAAACCAGGAAAGGACACAACAAAAAAAGAAAACTACAAACCATTGTCATTAAGGAATACTGATGCAAAAATACTCAAAGCAAATAGAATTCAGCTACACATAAAAAAAAAAAATATTCACAATGACCAAGTGGGCTTCATCGCCCAGATACAAGGCTGGCTCAACATGTGCAAATCCATAAACCTATTCACCACATAAACAGATAAAACCAAAGACCATCTTCTTAGTAGATGAAGAAAAAACATTTGACAAAATTCAGCACTGTTTTTTTGATAAGAACACTTTAAAAAATTGGCATACGTGGCACAGACTCATGGCCAATATCATGTTGAATTGAGAAAAACTGAAAGTATTCCACTTAGAACTGGAACCAGAAAGGATGCTCATGATCGCCGTTAGAGACAAGAAAAATTCTAATGTTGTGCCCAGAAGAACTGGATATATTTTAGACAGACTAAATGATCACCTCTCCTGTAATCAATTTTGGAGAATACAGCTCTGGATTTGTCTTTGTGTAAGAACATAAACACACAGAGACAAGTCACTTTGGCTTTTTCCATTATTTCATGTTCTAACATCCTACAATTCTGAGTAATGAATCCACTGCAACTACAGTCATAGTGGCCTCTTTGCTTAAAACCTTCTAGTGGTTTCTTTTGGTACTTGTTATATAACCCCAACACCTTAATATAGCCTACAAGCCCTACCTTTTTAGCTTCATCTTGTGCCACCCACACCATACCTCAAAGGCCTCCGGCTGGACTTTCAATTCTTTGAAGGGAGACAGGTGCTTTCCACTTCTTGTCTTACATGGTTTTCTTCCCTTTCTCCTTGTTTTTGCCTGGTTATTCTGTACCTTTTAGGTCAAATATTTTAAGGAAACTCTCTTTGACTCCCAGGGTAGATCAAGTCCTCTCTGTTCTACAGTCTCATAATACCCTGTACTTTGCTTCCAGAGAAGCTATTCCAT